CCCCAAAACCCCAAAACCCCAAAACCCCAATCACCATAAATTTTATTGAATTTATGATGAAATAGGGTGATTCCATCATCGGAGTGTTTTAGGAATTTTAAGTTTTCGATAAAACTGTTAATTATTTCTAAACAAGGTTGCTAACATAATAACTATAAGGGCTATCTTCGCTCTTGTTATTGGTATCTACTCGCTCAATATATTTGCGAGGTTTTGGCTAAATTTTTGATTATTATTTGTTTTCTGTTTGGGGCTAAAATTAGTAAAAAAACTGATGAACAATTTTTGAAGAATCTCATAACCCAATCAAGCATCTTTAGTACTTCTAAATTAAGAAGAGATTAAGCTGGGTATGTTTCTGAAGCATTACAGAATGATAGCCTTGATGTATCAGAGCTTCTTGGTTCAGATAAACTAGGTACAGTATTGATGAATTTTAGGAGTAAAACTTGAATAAATTTATTTTTGATATGAAACTTTGTAGGAATTATATTTATAAAGCCAATGCAGCTTCCACCGATTTTTTTGAATCAAAGAAGGTGTTCCAGAAGGTAGAGCTAACTGCTTTTGTGCTTGAGGAAACATATGAGCTTCCTGGATTTTTACCAACAAGGTCGTTTGATTTGAGTTTCTGCAAACAGCTATCATCACAAATGGATACTCTCTTGCTGCTCGCTTTATTCTTTGGAAAGCGAGTTTTTTCAAATATTTCCTTTACGTTGCTTGGAGTATTAACACAAGGAGTATATGCTACATAGCTCGTCTTTTTATGAGCTGACACTTCGAAATCTTTCAGCTTTTTCTCAAGAAATTTCTCTAGTATTGAAGAGTCACAGCTAGCGTTCTTCACGCTTGGTGTTGAGACTTTAATGGACTTCTCATCCATCGAACGATTTCTAGAGTAAAATAATTTGAATTTTGGTTTTCCTATAAGGATTGTTAAAATGTTTCTTCAAGAAGCACGAATGAAAATCAGAGAGTAGTAACCACCTTATTTTACAAATTATTGGTCTTTAGAATAATATACACTAATTTGTATCATCTAAGAGGTTTTAGGTGACTTTTTGTCGTTATTGGTCAATGAATCCCGGGTTTCGTACTTATAGAGGGAGATTTTAGGATACCATCTAGCTCCTGAGCATCAGCTTCAGGATCAACAGGGTATTTTTCTCCAAAAATACGCTTGATTTGGCTGATTTTCTTAGCTTTTGTGAGATTTTCCATCCTTTTGGAAAACTTTATCGAATCTAAGATGATGGTCTTCTTTCACTTCTTTGCTTTATTCTTTTTCTATAATTTTGTTAGGAAAATACTTACTTTGTTGAGCTTTATTGGTTTGATCAAGTTCCCTGAACTAGTAAAATCAAGGAACTTACAAATAGACTTTGTAGACGTTTCCATTGACATATGAAATGAATCATTGTTAGCTCCTGAAATATATGTAAATTACAAGTAAAATATTAATGGGAGTTTTTAATATATACCTGATTTATTTGGAGTTAGCATACTTGAACTTAACTTTTGGGGACCCCTTCTTGCCTTTTCTTTTAAATCCTCTTTTTCTGTGTATTAGACAAAAGATTTACTGATTCTCTCGTTTGATATCGTTCTGGATAAGCTCTTCAGCAATAGATTTGTAAAACTTATCAGTCCTAGTCCCGAAATTGTCTGATTCGAATACCTTATTTCTTTGGCATTATGTTGTTTATCTCCTTCTTTTTCACAATTCCTGCTTTTAAGTAACTATCAGCTTTCTTCGCTTCACGAGCGATTAAGAGGTCAATTGCAGAATTTATTCTGTTATCTGAATTCTCTTTGGCAGAGATCTTCCTGCCAACAGTGAAGCTATTCATGATTCTATGTTCTCTGATTTTATTGATGTCGTAATTTCTCATGTATTTCTTCATTTTTCCTTTATTTAACCTATAATCTTTATCGAGTTAATCCTACTTTAAACGAGCAAGCATTGTTTCTTGAGGGTTTTGCTCTTTATCGGGAGAGAACCTGATGGGATCTACACTGAAAATCGGTTTGTTTTTGCACGAATTGTCGAAGTATTCATCCAACTGACCCTTGACTGGTTGGAGGATATTAGTAAAGTCTATATAATAAGTAAGGAATCACTCAAATTATAATAAGTTTAGGTTAGAAATCTTAAATCGAGTCGCCTAATCTGTTAACAACAAAGCTGAATGTGGGTAGTACCTCCCCACCATCCACTCCTCCCCACCATCCCTCCCCAAAAAACCTCCCTAAAACCCTAAAGCCTCCAATCCCCTCTCCCACTCACCCAACCTCTTAACCCCTCTGGGCACTCTCTCAACAACATCTTCTTCCATCAAACTCAGTTTCCTAAACGAATTGCCTGCATTATATCTTTTGAGGTTACGCCTGGTTGACTTTCGTGTTCGGGTTTTCATAGTGGGAATTTGTGGTGGTAGAGAAATGGGCAAGTTATTTATTATAGGAGGAAGTCAATTTTTAGGAGAAGTTGTGGGGTTTTGGGGTTTTGGGGTTTTGGGGTTTTGGGG